GTTGGTTAGGTTGGGCACTTATCTGGGATATCTGGGAAATAACCCACTTCTTCCTCTGGGGCTTCTTCCAGCTCTTTAAGGTTGCCCACATTCTTTCTCACATGGCCCCTCTTCTTCTCACCAGCAATGCATGCTGAATCCTTCTCACATTTCTAGTCTCTCTGGTTCTTCTGCCACCAGCCAGAGAAAACTGCTTTTAAAGGGCTGGTGTGAGTTGATTGGACCTACCCAAACAATCTGCCTTTTGCCACCTACTATAACATAATCACTGGAGTAACATCTGGGAGCAAAGGTCATGGGACCATCTTAAAATTCTGTCTACCACAGATACTAAGTGTATATTTAACTTTATAAGAAACCATCAAACTGTTTTCCAAAGTGGCTGCACCATTTTACCTTCCCAGCAGAAGTAAATGAGAGTTTCAGTTGCTTGACTTCTGGCCAACATTCGGTATCATCAGTCTTTTTAATTTTAGCTGTTGATGAATGTGTAGTGATACCTCATGGGTGGTTTTAATTTGCATTTCCCTAAAGTCTATGACAGTGAGATCTTTTCACATGCTTATTAGTGCATAAAATTTTGTTTGATGAAAGATTCAGGTGTTTTTAAAAAAAGTTGAAACCCACTGGTTTAGACAAACTATCTGTGAATTTCCTAGATTTCTTAGTGGGCCCAGGGTCCATCTCCTTTTCTGAAACAATACAATCTCTGTAAATAAATCATCAGCATAAGCACTGTGCTCTGTGAGTGGGTGAAAGATGAAACAAACAGTGGCAAATCTGAAGTTACGAAATCCAATTGTTCTGAAAACCAAAATTTTTTTTCTTGGTTAGCACCAAAATCCATTGGTAGCAAAACCTGACATTAACATCTGTTTTGTTTTCTTGTAGAAGGACCCTCTATTGTCCCATGCCTGTGTTGGCTGTCTGGAGGCTTTGCTTGACTACCTGCATGCCAGGAGCCCAGATATGGGTAGAAACCCTCCCCATTCTCTGGTGTTCCCATGAGAGAGACAGGAGGGGGCCAGCCCCTACCACCTCCTGCCTCAGACTGCCATCCCTTTGTTCTGCAAATCACGCTAATTTTGTTCAATTCTTTTAAGAATACTGCATGGTCACTGTTATGCCCAGTAGACAGATGAGGACACTGAGGTTCAGAGAGGTCAAGCAACTTACCCACCATTGTCACAAAGCTCTTAAGTGGCAAAACTCTTCCTGTTGCCTGCCTCCCTCAATAGTGGGATGCATGGACTCCCGGGGCCCGGCAGTAGAGGTTGGTAGAAGCCCAGGGAAGAAAGGGACTTTCTGGGGTCAGCTTGTCCAATACCCTGCCTCTAGCTGAGTAGCCCTTTTTGAGCCAATATGAGAAAGTCCTCCTGCGTAATGTTCCAAGACTTTTGGAAAAACAGCATTAACACCTCATGGTGACTGGTGTTTCCTGTAGCACTGCATGTGGCCACCCAGCCCTGGAATCGGTTTTTGCTGTTTACCCTCCTGGATGCTGGAGAGAATTCTTTCCTCAGACCTGAAATCTTGAGGCTCATGACTCTGGTAAGTGCAGAAAGGATGGTCTTGTAGTCTGAATAATATCATGAGCTGGATGGTGCTGAGGTGGCCAGGGACATCTTCGTTTTAGGTAACCCTAATCCTCAGAGAAGGTAGAGGGGGCTGGGCAGACCTTCACCCTGCCAGAGGCCTGCTCAGAGAATTCCTCTCAATGCCCAAATCTCCTCACCCCAGAAGAGCCAGACATTCTTATTCACTCACTCATAAAACATTGTTGACAAGACCCAGCCCGCCACCTGCCAGTCCTATATTAGGTACCAGAGATACTGAGGAGCCAAATGCTCTGCCTTGGAGGATCTCTCGGTCTAGAGAAGGGGACAGGCAAGGAAACTATAGTTGAAGCGTGATGCTATTAGTGGTAGAGTAGAAGAGACACTAAGTGCTTGGTTTGCAGTAAGTGCCCATTGAATACACAACAAAACATTGAGCCTGTAAATGATAGTGAAGTGGATCAGTGAATAAATCAGTGCTAGTTGTGGGAAGAGAATAAGTGACTCTGAAGAAGAGGGTAAGTACTCTGCCAGTGCTGGGAGGGAGAGGTGAATAAAGATGTAGTCAGCACTCGGTGCCTGTCTTTAGTAAAATGAGAGAACATCACTAGTGAAGGTAACATTTTGGCTGAGGTTTAAAGGCTTAACAGAGAAAGAGGAGGAAATGTAATCCTGGTAGTGAAGCCAGAGCAGAAGGCTGTGAGCACATGGTGGTGTGTTTGGGTAACAACACACATAGTCCATTTTGGCCACAAGTGTGAGGTGCAAGGCTGGGGGTGGGGTACTGAGGTCACCTCTCTCAGGGTCTCATAGTCTGCCTCATTTACCCCACGCTCCCCTGACACAACCCACCCCTGCTCACTAACTCTGAGCTCCTTGAAGGCAGGGTGCTATGGGCTACAGATCTGTGTCCTTAGCCCAGTGCTGAGCACAGCAGGGGCACAGGAAATGTCTGTGAATGGAAATGCTGAATCACTGCATGTTTGGGGCTTCTCGGGCCAGTTTGTGCGGTTCCAGAGCAGCAGTGTTCTTTCTCATGAAGAGGTGGGACTTGTTCTGCAAGGCGCAGCTTTGGCTGACTTCTCTGCCCTCTCAAACACCACACTCCAGGCTCTGCGTCGTTTCCTCCTACAGGTGTGTAGAAGGGGATGTGTGTGTTGTCACTGTGAGGCTAGGCCCTCCGTGCCATCATCTCTGTGGAGGGCGGGAGCTCGGGTCACAACAGCCAGTGGTGGGTCCAGAGCACAGTGGGTAGAGGGTAGAGAGGCCTGTGGGGAGAAGGCTCTGAAAAGGCCTGTCTTCCCTGCCTGTTTCTTTCCTCAGGTCCAGAGCATGGGCCTCCTGGTTGATCAGAGCATGGCCCAGGCAGTGCAGGCCTGCTTAGAGGGCCTTTCTACCAAGGCCTCCTCCGCCCAGCCACCCCTGCAGGACATGCTGTATCTTTTTTTTGCATCTGGGAGCTTTGGCCTGGGCAAGGGCAAAGACTATGGGATAGTGTGGCATCAGACTCCAGGACAGAGAGCTGCACTGTTTACAGCCCTGTCCTCTAGAGCAAGCAGGGATTGGTGTAAATAATTAGTAGTGATAGCAATGACAATGCCTTGTTCTTTTTATTAATAAAGATCCTACCAAGGGCCAGACACATTACATGTACTCTATCTAATCCTCCTAGCAGCTAGGAGTATTAATGTTGTAGCGTAGACCAATGAAGTTAAATGACATGCCCAGGATCACACAGTGGTAGCATCAGGATTTGATCATAGATTTACCTGTTTCCAAAGGCACATCACCAAACTAAGGAAGGAGCTAGTTCTTCCCTAGGAGCTCTGGAGAATGTCGCCCAGCCCAGTTGGCACAGGTGCTTCTGTCAGCCCAAGATGGGGGTGCGCATGACTGGCATGCCCCCAAGAAAGACTGGGGTTGTGGGCAGCGGTCAGAGACCCTCTGAGGGTTGTGGTGCTCCAGAGACACTTTGGTCAGGAGGTGTGTGTGTACGTAGTGTATGGAGGTGCTTCCTTCCCATCCTACTGGCTGCCTTCCTGGCTCTCCTTTCCATTTTCCAGGGAATATCCTCTGTTGTGTACAACTACCTAGCCCGATTGTTCAGGTTCCAATTTTAGAATCCAGCCCACTACTCTTAGGAGGCCACCTCTGTTCATCTGTTTTTATCTTTTTGGGGCCCTGGAAGTGTGGTTCTCCCATGGTCAGCCCTGCCTCTGTTGTTCTCCTCTCATGTTTTGCTGCCAGCTGCCTGGGAGGGGTGGCTGTATCCCTGTCCCACATCAGAGGCTGACCCCTCAACAACTGAAGGCCCAGAAGTAGAGAGGACTGAGCCCTGGAGAAGAAGGGCACACTGGTTTGGAGAAATGGATGACAACTGCAGCCATTCATCTGGAGCCATTTACTCATCAGGAAATAAAATGATACACTCACATGCCTGTGTGAGCTCTCCAAAAACATTTCACTCTCAACTTATCTTTGCCCCTTCCAGCTGTTTCTTCAGCCAGGATGGATGGCCTCCTCAGGGAAAGGGGGGCGGGATTTCTCCTCCTAACACAGAAGGAGCACCAATGCTAGCTGGTTGCCTCTGTTGCCCCAGAAAACACTACTCAGGCCATCCATCCTCAGGGCTGGAAAGGCCACGGGGAGGCCACGTGTCTGGGCTGCTGTTATCCAAGTGCTCTCAGAGGCACTTTACTTGCTGCCTCACCTCCTGTGAAAGTGGAGAGACGTAAAATTTCCAGGCAAGGAAGCTGAGCAGATCACTGAGCCTGCCTAGCTGAGGGGAACTGTACCAGCCCAGCCCTTTCCCTGGCTAAAGTAGGTCGGTCCCCTGTGTTCCTTTCTTTAATGGCCCTCGTTGGAGCTTGTATACCCACGTGCGGGCCGTACTTTCAATGTCTGTGCTCCACGACTGTGACTGTCCGCTGGCGTTCCGCCCACGGGGCATGTAGCTCCTTTCTGAATGACTGCCTGCGAGGGCCCCAGGGCCTGGAACTGACCCTGCCGAAAGTCCCAAAGTGGCCTGAGCTCCATCCTAGTGAACCGACGGGGAAGCCCTTATACACTGGATTTAGAACTTGGTCGGCCAGAGGGGCGAAGGAGGGTTGTGCCAACTCTGCAATGCTGGTTACTTAAAAAAAGTAATATTAATAAAGCTAGTCACAACCCACTAAACTGATTTTGCTGAAAGCCTGTCAGCTGATGAAACAGTTTCGGGGAGGGCGCCCGGCTGGACCAGGGTTCCAGTTTGCTGGCTCACCGAAGCCCAACGCGTCTGAGCCCAGGCGCAGTGTGGACAGAACACCGTTTTAGGGAACCTCGCAAGGTACCAGCCCCAAAGCCCGGGGAGGCGGAGCCGGAAGTGAGGTCACCATCGCGGGGCGTCGCGGCCCGCGCTCATTGGCCAGGAGTGGCTCGGTGGGCGGGACGGCGCTCGGAGGTCAAAAGCGCTGCTGCTCGCGGATTCTGTGGGTTCCACTCTTTTGCAGGTCTCCGGCGAACCTGCGAGTCGCACGCTGAGGACCTGTGGCTTCCCTTCCTGCACCCCTGGCCTGGTAGGTGGGGGGTCGGGTCCACGGCAGGTAGGCTCCCGGTGGGTGGAGGGCGAAAAGCGAGGGCCTTCGAACCAGCTGCAGGCTGTGGAAGTTAAGATTCTCCTCTTCCCTTTGGAAAGACTCCTCTCCTCCCAGTGTCCCTAAGGCTGGGGACAGCAACCGGGGTCCGCGAGCCCAGGTAGCTGGCTCAGGCCTGGCCCGCCACTACCACGCTACTCTTGCAGAATGGATTAAGGGTAACTCGCGGCACTGGAAAGAGCTCTAGGGACACACAGACGGGAAGCAGGATTGGGAGGCCGGAAAGTGGAAGTAGCAGTAGAGAAGGCAGACTCTTCCCCACGTAGCCTGGTTTTTCGGCTTTTCTTTCCTATTCTTCCTCTGCTTCAGTTATTACCTGCTGTCTGAATCCGCTGCCCCCAAGTTCTGATCTAGCCTGTGTCCAGTTCCCTTGAGTCTGGAGTGTGATATTGGAAGGTAGGGGGTTCTGTGTGAACTTGGACTACTTTACATTCTCTTGGTTTCAGTTCTATCACCTGTGTGTGGTGGCAGTGGTTCTCTGGGTGAGCTCTGCAGGACCTCACTGTCAGTAACTGTGCATCTGTCCCTTGGGGCAGGTGTCTTGGTAGAACGGTGACCTGCTCTGGGATAGTCTATGCTCATTTAGACTCTCTTGGTTTAGTCTGGGAACAGATGAGTGACGTGGCCGTTACCTCACTTTTCTGTGCCTTGGTTTCCACATTGGAAAAATTGGGTTCCTGTCATCTGAGTCTGAGGCCTTCTCTGAGCACTGTATTTAATATTACACCCCACCAACTCCCTCTCGTTCTTCTGTGCTTGTTTTACAAGTTTATTGGTTACCTCTTACTCCTACTAGGGAAATAACTACAATGAATACAGGGAGTTTTATCTTATTCACTGGTGTATTCCCAGCTCTAAAAGTGACTAGAACATGGTAGATACTCAGTAAATAATTGGGAAATGTTGCCTGAATAGAAACAGGTGTTGTTTGTGGTGTCTGTGGTTCCAAAGTGAGTGAATGGCATCACTTTTATCCCAAGACTGCACTGCTTCCCTTCCTGCTGTGTGTCCCTTCCTTTCTGAAGGAAGTCAGGGGAGGAAGAAAACACCAGAAGTTTCACACCCACTCTGACTGCCTGCACCTCCTTGGCCAGATACTTTCCTGGGAGGCCGGGATTGGGAGGCAGGGGGTTGGGAAGGAATGATATTGACCAGCCCCGTATCCCCTTATCCCTATTTTACAATGGGGAAGCTGAAGCTCAGAGAGGCTGAGCCATTTGTCCAATGCCCACAGTCAGGAAGAGCCAGGGCTCCAGCTCAGCGCTCCAGGCACTGACCCCTGTGCTCTCAGCAAGCATCCCTGAATCCCTGACATTTATCTTGCTTCCTCCTGCCTACTGTCCCATGGTTTTTATTCTGTGTCTGCTGGTCACAGGCCCTGGGCTAGGGACTGGGGCTCCAGGGCCTCCCAAAGTGGGGTCCTTGGTACTTGGAGGCTATGCCATGTCAGGGGAAGTTGCCATCCACCTCCTCTGTTTTAAGAACACCAAACTCTGTCTCACTTCATTTCTCTGGGTTACTCACCTAGCTCCAGGGTCGTGGATATGGACCTCTTTCAGTTCCTGTTCTTCCTGTTTGTCCTGCTGCTGTCTGGGACAGGAGTCACAGGCTCCCTGAGAACCTCCCTGGACCCAGGCCTGGAGATTTGTATCCTTTGGCATTGGAGGTGGGGTTCATGAGCTGTGCCTGAGGGGTCTATAAGGAGGTCTCCATACTTACAACCTCTTGGCACATTCTAGGGATGGATCAGGCCCAGCTGATGGGAACAGGGAAGAAAAGGTAAGGTACTCTTATCACACCTTGATCAAGTCCACTGTCTTCTGAGGCTCAGTTTCCCTATTGTGTTAAATGGAGAAGGCAAGGCACATCTCTCAGAGCCATGAGGGCTCTGAGAATTATACACATGTGTCTAACACCTTGTGGATGAGACCCTGGGCAGGGACTTAGGTACTGGCATACTGGGCCCCCAACTCTGGACCAGGCCTTGGGGACACAGAGATGACTCAGGACCAGTACCTGGCTTTCAGGACTTCACAGGCCTCACATTGTACTTTGTGATCAGTGCTTTGATATGGAATATGGGAGAAACACTGCTCTGGCTTTTGAACTGGATCTTGAAAGAATAAAAACTCATAGAGAAGGGTTGGGGGCATCCCAGGCAGAGTGTACAGTGTGAGCAGAGAAGCAGAGGTTCTGGGAATAGTGAGTGGTTGTAGGAGATGGTGGAAAGATTATGGGGAGGAGTGGGCAGGGGCCAGGTCCTGAAGGGTTGTGTTTGGTTGGGCCCTTCGGTGTGGAATCTTCTGTGAACTGGACAAATGATAACATTGCAGGATGTGAAGTCTTAGCAGCGTGTTACTTCCGTGGGGGGCTGAGCCTCAGGCATGGGCATCTGTAGCCTTTGCAAGTATTTGCTTGTCAGGAATGGGCCCCCTGGGTTACAACCACTGGATTATCCAGGCAGGAATGTTGGTGCCCACTCCTTAACCTAATGCTGCTCAGACAAGAAGCTGTTTGAGGTGAAGCGGCGTGAGCAGCTGTTGGCATTGAAAAACCTGGTACAGCTGAATGATGTCCACCAGCAGTACAAGATCCTTGATGTCATGCTCAAGGGGCTCTTTAAGGTGCATGCAGGCACGGGGCAGCTCACGGCAGACTTAGTCTTTGATCTGGGCACTGAAGGATGAATAGGAATTCCTTAAGGGGATGGTGTTCTTTTGGGGGAGCTACAAGCATAAAAGATTTGAAGGAGGGTTTAAATAGACTGGGCCATGGCTGGTCTCTGCAGGTCTCTGCAGAGCCACTCAGCCAGGTGGGGTTCCCTCAGGTGCTGGAGGACTCCCGGACAGTGCTCATTGCTGCGGATGTGCTGCCAGATGGGCCCTTCCCACAGGATGAGAAGCTGAAGGATGGTACGGTCTTCTCAATCTCTCCCTCTCCTCCTCCCCACCACCTTGACTGTCTCTAGTTGTTTCTTCCCTCCTGTTTTTGTCACTCTTCTTTTCTCTCTGGTGTTCCCCTTTGATGGATAGGCACTTAGTATGTGGTTCTCCAAGAATTTCTGGGATTCAGAGCCAGTTTCTGTGTGTCTGACACACATGTGTTCCTTTGTGCTGTCCTGTGCTCGGAGCAGGGGAGCCAGGGAGGAAGCGCAGCCTACTCTCCCTCTGGGGAGCCTTGTCTTCTCCACTCCCCTAACCCCTCTGGTAGAGAAAGCAAGGGTTCCCATTTATCTTCAAAGAAGGTAAGTGAGAAAAAAACAGACCTATTGAAGTCACTGGACAGGACAGTGGGGGCAGTTGCCCACACTCTTTACTACTGTTCTAAAAGCCCCAACCCCTTTAAGTCTTTTTTTTGAGACTAGGTGGGACAAACATAGATAAGTAAGGTAAAAGAATATTCTGTGTCCCTTCATCCTCTCTTCCAAGAATTTCTTTCCAGTGGTAATTTTCCCATTAACTGGTAACATTTTAACAATAAAATGTCTTAGATTACACTGAGAGAGGATGGAAGTAGCCTTTACATATTGAATGGTGGGCGCTTCTGCAGATATCATCTCGTCTCCACTATAACTGAGGAAGTTATATATATCTTGGCTATTTAACCAAGCTAACTCCTGAGTTTAAGATTGTTCTGAAGACTAGGGGTCTGGCCCCATTTATCTGAGACTCCACTTGGCATATCTCTGGAGGAGTCTGCTTCTCTCTGTGCGTGGCCTGGCCCGTGCTGGAGGGCTGCCTGGGCCTGATCTCAAACAGGAGCCGCTGCCAGGGCTGGGTCTATACCTATTCTTCATGTTAGCCTGGCTTGGAGGACCTGCTATCATCATGGACACTGAACTCAATCTGAACTGACCTGTTGAGCAGAGGAAAGATACTAGTGGAGAAAGTGATGACATTCAAATGAGATCTATGGATGTATTGTATCAATGTTAGTTTCCTGGTGTAGATAGTTGTACAGTAGTTATGTAAGACGATAACAATAGAAGAAGCCAAGTGAAGGAATTTTGTGGTGTATTATGTAAGTCTGAAATTATTTCAAAATCAATACTTAAGCCTTTAAAAGAAAATAAAACTGGAAGAATATTTTTAAAAAACAAACCCTGGTGTGTTCCCTGCTATCCCACCTGATCTGAAGCCTCGCTGACACTGTAGTTGTGCTAACACCAGGCTCTGGACATTTGGGTACCAAGCTGGGGAGAGTAGGCCTCAGCAAAGCCTCATGTGATGCATATGCCTCCCTGTGTGGGCATGACACCCACCTCTCTGGTCCCCACAGCACCTCACAGCAGTGAGTCTTCTAAGCCATGCAATACGGGAAAGACCAGGGCCTTGGCAGTCAGACAGACCTGGATTCGCAGCCCAGATTGCTACTCGTTTTCTCCCGTGTAAAATGGGAACAGCCGCAGCATCTCCCTCTTATGGTGGTCTGAGGATTCAGTGACCTGGTGGACATAAAGCCATTAGCACGTAGTGCAGATGTGGACAGCAGCCTGTGGGCGGCAGGCACTGGTGCCTTCTCTGCTTAGCGGGCTTGTCTCTATTCTCTGGGAAGTGCCCGGGGCTGACCAGGAGGGCCGTAGAACGGCATCTGCCCTGGTCACTCATCAAGATCTTCTTGCCAGCTTTCTCCCAAGTGATGGAGAACACAGCCTTCTTCGGTGATGTGGTGCTACGCTTCCCAAGGATCGTGCACCACTACTTTGACCACAACTCCAACTGGAATCTCCTTATCCGCTGGGGCATCAGCTTCTGCAACCAGTCGGGCGTCTTTGACCAGGGGCCCCACTCACCCATTCTTAGCCTGGTAAGGACCGGAGAAGAGGTGGTTCGGAGCCCTGTCCCCCTGTGTCCTGTGAGCCTTGCAACTGCCTATAGCTGGCCCTGTATGTCAGCCCTTGGTTGCATTTTCTGTAATCAGCCCCAGGGCACCTTGAGGTGCCATCTTAAGGGGTTCTGTGCCAACCTCAGTCCCTAGGAGTCATCCCCTGGCCCACATCTGCCCAAGTCTTGGGCCCTGGGTTCCAATGTGGAGGGAGTGGCTCACAGCTGAGCAAAAGGCAGGAGAGGGCAGAGGATGACTAGTTTTTCCTCATCTGCAGATGGCCCAGGAGCTGGGGATCAGCGAGAAAGGCTCTGACTTCCAGAACCCATTTAAAGTAGATCACACAGAGGTGAGCTGTGGGGGCTTGTGGCCTTGTTTGTCTGCCGCTGCTGGGCCGCGGGAAGCCAGGTCCTACAGGGGTTGGGGTGCCTGGGGTGGAGTGTGAGGGCTTTAGCCCTGGAGCCAGACATGCCCGGATCTGGGTCCAGGAACCATCACTCACTTACTGGTGCCTTTGGGCAAGCCACTGCCCTTATCTTAGCCTGAGGCTGCCTGTCTGTAGACCCCAGCTGTGTGGGGGGCAGGCAGAGGCTATAAACTTCCCTCTGCATAGTAGACACCCACACCACATAAATGTGAGGGAAGCCAGGGGAGGTCAAGTCACGCTTTTCTCTGCCATTGAGTCTCTGATCACCCAGGTGGGCTTCTGTCCTACGTCCCTGTACATGCTGTCATCGTAGGAGGCTGAGGTGGGCTTTGAGGGCTGGAGGCTGTGGGGTAGGATGCTAGATGGGGACACTTATAATCGAGGAGAGGAGGGGATCAGAGGTGGGGGGGGGGCAAAAGGGCAGGAGGGAAGGGCTGGAGGGCTGGACTCATCAAATCACAGGCTCACCCCTGGTGCAAGGAGGGGAGGGACGTCAGGGTCCTTCAGGAGCCTCAGATCTTACACCCTGCCTGCAGGCTAATAAGCCAGCCTGCTACTGTTGCACGGATTCCGACAGGTCAGAGACATCAGATTTTACTACAGCAAAAGCAGCATCCAGAGTAGGGGCCTGCTCCTGTTGGTTCCTCTTGTTCCCTGAGTCCCATGGGGGTGACCCAGAGGGACCCAGGTAGATGCCACACAGGCAGTGGGTTTGCATCATAGCCGAAGGATACCAAGCTTGGGAAATTTACCACTTTTATAGTAAACAGATGGGGGGTGGTAGAGACATCACTTCATCCTTCAAGGCTCTCTGCAAACACAGTCTTCAGAAATGGGCCAGGTACAGAGCAGTCAGGGCTTTGCATTCTTGGTGTACCCAGCAAGGACATGCAGGGATGCGCAGGGCCATGGTGGATTGCCTCCCCGACAGTCAGTCCCTCAGCCCTGCATGTTGTGGCCTAACTCAGATTTCCACATGAATGTGCTGTTCAGTATCTTAAGCTGACGAATAGAGGCTAGGACCAAAGTTGTTCAATTTGTCTCCTACTGCATTTAATTAAGGCTGCCATCAACAGAACTAAGCAACAGGACGAGGCCGGCCTGCAGTATTGATCTCAGCCGTGTGCTCCAGGGTCCTGGACTCAGCCAGCTGTGATCAGTTTTGGGGGAATGAATAGGTCTTATTTTAGACCATCGGATGTGGTCCAAGGCCAATCTATATCCATTATCACCCACATAAGAGTTTAGACTGACCTGCAGATCTTTGATGTTATTGCCAGTGATTACAAGGGCAGTAGGTGGACCTAGAGCAACCTTCCACCCCAGTGGAGAGATACTCCATGGCACACTGTCTCCCACACGTTACACTGGATTTGGGTCACCATTACATAGTTTGGCTGAATCCCAAGTGTCACTGCGGAGTTGCAGCCTCTGTTGCCCTACATGACGGAACCCCAGGCCACGCAGGCATGAGGAGAAGGAGGTGGGTTTGGATCTGGCAGGCTGAAACAAGGTTGTACTGGCATGTATGTCTGCCCAGGGTCACTCCAGGAGCTGCCTTTGATGGCATCAGGCACGCCGGAATAATTCAGGACTGACCGTGTCAGGTTTTCTGTCCTGTGCTTGAGAATGATACATCCAGCAGCTGGTCAGATCATTTGCAGCTGCCCCTTGGCTTGGGCAGACCCTAGGATTGTTTTTCCAAGTGGTAGTGCTGGATCTAAGGCACAGAAAGGATTAATTGTTCCTCACATTTCCTGGGACCTAAGGCATTCTCAGCCTAGATGCTGGGATTATTGCTACAACACTGGTGTGTCACATCCCTGTCATCCCCCACTCTCACTTAGATCTTTGTCCAGAAGGGACAAGAGCATTTTTACAAAATTTTCAGAGGCATGTCATATTTTCATCTTGATCCACGATGGGGGTACTTGGCAAGGAATATACTTAACCAGTTGGTCATTATCCTAATGATCTTGGGCCGTACTGTTCCAGCCTGGGACTCCAGGTGGTCAAAGCAGAAAGACAGAGTTGGTTTTGTGCCAGTCCATGGTGGCAGGTGTGTTGCCACATCTAGTGCAGTGATGCATGCACGTGGTGGACTTGATCAGCAGTTTGGTTTTGGTCAGTCTCATCAGAGAAAGGACCTTACCGTGGGCATCTAAGCGAGGGACCCAGACTGTTCACTTGTCAACCACAATTTTTTTCTACAGTGAATGGTCGCAAAAAGGGATTGCCATCTGCGATCTGCCAGCCTGTAGCCTTGTGGGCGGCAGACCAAATGGCGGGGACACTGGCAACAGTTAGTAAAAATACAACGTGCCTGGTCATGAGGAGCATTGTCTAGGCAAAGATGACCGCTTTAATTCAGATCATTGTCTGACTGGCCTTTGTGGCAGCTAGTTTTTCACTGTCATGAGGACTGATGGCTGCTGCTGCCCATAGGCAGCCATGTCAGGGGTCCCCCAAACCACCCCTGGGTTGATGATTTGCTAGAGCTCTGTACAGTCATGCTCACAGCCATGATTTATTACAGTGAAAATACACGGAGCAAATTCAGCAAAGGGAAAAGGCACAAGGGCAAAGTCGAGGGAAACCAGGCACAAGCTCCCAAGTCCCCTCCCAGTGGAGTCACAAGGCACGCTTAATTCCCCCAGCAACAAGTTGTGACAACATGTGTGAAAGTTGCCTATTAGGGAAGGTCATTAAAGAATAACACCCAAGGTTTTTATTGGGACTGGTCACACAGGCACCCTCTGCCTTGCACATACCAAAATTCCCGACTCCCAGGAGGAAAGCAGGCGTTCAGCATAAACCACAGACAGCTCAGCATGGTGAGCCGCCCTTGTCAGTCGGGATGGTGCGAGCCCTCCCAGAATCTGGGTTCCCAGACACCAGCCATGGGTCAGCCTTAGAAGCAGGCCTTTCAGGGAAGAGCAGTCAGGTAGGCTCTGTTGACTCTTCTGCACAGCACCATTTGCTGGTAATTTGGCTGAACTATCTCAGTGGACCTGAACTGAGTATTTAGGGTAATTTGTGAATTGAGGGTCCTCTTGAGCCAGTAGCTTTGTCACTGTTTCATGTAAATGCAAGATGACATGTTTGTCCAAAGCTACTTACTGCAGTCACGTTCCTGGTAAATGGCCCTGTTAAGGAACAGTCAGGGCTAGGCTCTTGGTGTGCCTGGCAGGAACATGCAGGGATGCTCAAGACCACAGCAGACTGCCATTCCCAGTGCGGAGTGCCCACAGGGATGCCTCATTGCTGCGATGTTGGCTCTCCTCACCCTGCAGGTCACGCATAGGTGCCTCGCACAGGTAGAGGGTGAGAGCGTGGGCCTCAGAGAAGGTGGGCTCCAGGTAGATTCAGTTTACCTTCATCGTAATGTGCTCTGCTTGGACAGAACCATAGCAGCAACATACTTTCCTTATTTCTCACCATCTAGAGACAGTCCCAAAATGTTACACATTTAAAAGAATTTCTTTAACATACTGATTTTAGAGAGAGATGAAGAGAGAGAGAGAGAAACATCACTTTGTTGTTCCACTCACTTATGCACTCATTGCTTGCTTCTTTCATGTGTCCTGACCAGAGATCAAACCTGCAGCCTTGGCATATTGGGGCGGTGCTCTAACCAACTGAGCTAGCCGGCCAGGGCTTATGCACTTTTGACGTCCAGCACGGACCAGTTCACTGGTGTAGCCCCGACTTGCTCAGCTCCCGTCACGCACTTTCTCTACATTGGCGAGTGTTCCAGGGTCCTCTCCCACTGTATGTAGCTATCACAAACTCTGACACGTGTCAGGCTGGGTGCTGGCCACTGTCCCTCTCCAGAGGGGTGGCTCTCTCCCTGCACTTCAGGTGCTCATTGTCTGATGGGGGAAGGAGGCAGAGAAACACAGTCCCAGGCCAGCGTGATCACTGCGCCAGTGGAAGAGGGAAGTGATGAGTGTGGGACCCCTTAGGGGGCCCTGACCCAGCCTCTGCTCGTATGTGGTGAAGGCTCTGGGATAAGTAAGAGCTGCCAGGTGTACTCAGGGAAGACCTTCCAGCCAGAGGGACTAGCTTAAACAAAGGCTGGGACATGACCCATTCCTTCATTCAACATTTAGTGAGCACCTACTGAATCCCAGCCATTAGAGAAACAGACCAGCCCTGCTCTTGCTGGGAAGGACATTCTAGTTGGAAGAGACAGACAGTCAATAAAAAATACATACCATGATAGGTGGCAACAGTGTCTATGGAGGAAAACATGGGGGAATGGGGTTAAGGAATTCCGGGGTAAGGTGGAGGTACAGTTGCTGTCTTGCATGATGGGACTTGGGCCTCAATGAGAAGACGAGGAGGAAGTGAGTGTCAGCATGTTGTTGAGGGTAGGGGGTGATCATTCCTGGCTGAAGGAGCAGCAAGTGCAAAGAGCCTGAGTTGGAAGCCAACATGTAGGGTGTGGAGTGAGAGGAGGTGAAGTCAGTTGCTGGCCAGGTCACAAAGCCCTTGGAGGGCTTCCAGAAGCCTTGGCATTTATCCTGAGAGACGTGAAGAGCAGGGTGATGGGCCCTTACTTACCGCTTTAAAGGATCGGCCTGGCCTGGCTGCTGTATGGAGAATGGTCTGGGGGACCAGGATGGAAACAGGGACGCTGGTGAGGAGGCTTCTCTTTGGGAGTTGGTGGTGGCTTGAACTGGGTGGGTGGCATCAGTGGGGCAGGTGAAGGATGGTGAGGTTTTGGTTCTAGTTGAAGACAGAGCCAGTAGGACTTGCTAAGGAAGTAGATGTGCAATGAGAGAGAAACATTAAGGATGAGTCGAAGATTTTTGGTCTGAAAACGTGGAGGAATGAGGCTGCCATTTTCTCAAATGGGCAGACTGGTAGGAGCAGGTTGGGGCTGGATCGGTGAGGAAGGCTTTTTTTTCTGGACCTGGTGAGCATCTGAATGAAGATGCCAGGGAGGCAATATGACTCTAGATTTCAGGGGAGGTGTTGAAGCTCAAGTTACAAATGTGAGAGTCGTGTGTACAAAGAAAATAGCAAAATCAGTGACCAGGACATCATCACCGGGGTTCGGGGGGCTGAGGGGAGGTCAGTGCAGATGGAGAAGCAGTGTAAGGACCAAGGACTAAGATGTGGTTACAGTTGGAGGTGGAGAGAATAGGAGGAGCTGGCAAAGAGCCCCAGGAAGGAACAGGCTGTATGAGAGTAGTAAACCCAAGAGAGTCATTTCCCAGGGACCGCGTGAGGGAGGTCACAGGAAGGGGGAGTGATGAGCCCGTCAAACCCTGGTGGAAAGGTTAGGAATATGAGGCCTGAGAACCAGCCCCTGGATTTGGCAATATAGAGGTCATCAGAGATCCTAATGAAAGCTGTTTTGGTGGAGGGGTGAGGACAAAAGATTAGATTTCATGAGGATAAGGGGAAAGGAAGTGGGTGCAGGAAGTACAGACAGACCTTTTGAAGAGTTTGTTTTCAAGGGGAGCAGACAAGTAGGAGAGGAGCTGGAGGGTGGTGTGGGCTCAAGGCGGGAATTAAGTTAGACGGGAGAGACTGGCATGTCTGCATGTTGATGGGAACGAACCATGAGGGAGAAAGAAGCGAAGATGCAGAGGTAGGAGAGTGGCCACGCCTCCATTGCCAGGCAGCATGGGGGGCCCACTTGAGTTTAGCATCAGGAATTTAGAATAGGTGTTAGCCACGCCTCCTGGGGAAGGGATCCAGGAAAGGGATGGGCAATCCCTCTCTCCTGTGCCAACTAGGTTTGGGCTCCCCTACGGGGGTTGAGCCATCTGGGGCTGAAGGGGCCAGGGTCTCTTGACTGGCCTTTTCCCAGCCAGAGCCAGAAGGTATGGGGGTGGTCTGAGGCGTCTCCCAGCTCCTCATCTTCCCCAGGAGGACCAGAATTAACTCTGAGGGACAGGAGGTAGAGGGTGGTAGGGGAAGCACTGTTCACGAGGACAGGGATGCTGTAAGGGGACTGGGTTTTGGGGAGATTGAGCCATGCCACGTTGGGGGTACATTTGGAACATCCTAGTGAAGGTGCCAGGTGGTAGCCTAATATGGGGTACATATTTCAGGGGTGACTGACCATAGAGACATAACAGAAGCCTAGGTTTGGAGAGAGCAGGGGGAGAGGAGGGCAGGGCCTGGGGTTGCACTGTAAGGGTTCCCCGACTGGAGCCCTCATCCTCCTCCCACTGCTGTTCACCCTGTGTTCCCGTTCCCTCCCAGGCACCACCATCTACCCGCCAGCCTTCTCTCCCTCCCACCCGCTTTCTGGTCCCTCATTTTGACCTCTGACCCACCCACTTCCTGTGCACTCCCTCACCTAGAGAGAATGCGCACTACCTCTTATTCTCGCTGGCTGCCCTCCCCTCCTCCTCAGTGGCGTGGCAGCCAGGGCTTGGGGTCTGTCATCAGCCCCCTCACCCTAGAGGGAGTCTGTGTATTGTTTCTCTGATGCCAGTGCAGGTTCACACCTTGGCACCTGTTCCTCTGCCTGGAATGTTCTCCTTCCCTCACGCTGTTTGCTCTCGGTCTCTCAGGACCCAGAAGCAGTTGTCCCCAAGCCCATTTAACCATCTTCAAGTCTGTGGGCCCCCTGAGGACAGGGCCTGCGGCTAAGCAACCTTCTTGCCCCCGTAGCCCGTAGTGGCCTAGCTCAGAGGAAACTGCCGCCAGCAGACTAAATCAGACCACTTTGCTCTTGCCCTCAGTTCCTTTCTAGCACCGACCCCTTCCAGAAGGCCCTGAGAGAAGAGGAGAAACGCCGGAAGAAAGAGGAGAAGCGGAAAGAGATCCGAAAAGGCCCACGGATCTCGCGATCCCAGTCTGAGCTATAGGCCTGTTGCAGTCCAGGGTTCATGGGGCCAGGAGGAAGAGAAGGAGGCAGCACAGCCAAGGTGAAGCAGTGCCGACTGCTTGGTGGTGAGAGCCAGCCCCTGTGAGAGGGGAGGCCATGTTTGCTTGGCCCCCTGGAGCTGGCTTTGAGGGCCAGGTGAAGGGACTGGGCCACAGAGGGCCAGACTTCCTCCCAGGGGCCTCCCTGGAGGAGGCATTGAGGGGCCCTTCAGAGGACGCTCTGCTGCAGACCTAACCCAGTGGAGATGCTGGGGGAGGAAAGGGGGGTCCAGGGCTGTACCCTCCCAGTGTATGAGGACTGATGGCCAGGAGGCTGCTGCCCTTCATGGAGAGGTAACAGAGCCAGGCCCTGAGCCACATGTGGCGGTGCCATACCTGCTGCTGGCTCTCCTGTGTCGCTGAGCCACACGGCGTGAGTTCCAGCCCCCTGCAGAGACAAATAAAAGCCAGTGAACCCTCTGCGCAAGTCACAGCTGGTTTGGGCGCCAGGTAAGCTATGAGGCCCTTTACCAGGCAGGTAGCAAGGGACTTGAGTTGGGTAACCAGAGGCCCTCAGAGATGTAGAGAGCACCTGAGAGGATGTCCCCCGCCTCATCAGGGGAGCCCCAGGTCCTGGGACAAGGGGAGAGACAGTGAAGCAGGGGCTTGGCTTGGCCTCCTAATCCCTTCTTAGCACTGTCCTTGAGCACTGTCCTTGAGCACTGTCCTTGATGAAGGATCAGTGTTGGAAAGGGACAGGAGGTATCCTAAGAACGTGTTTATCCAAGGTGACCTTGGAGCAACATGATCTCTATCCTTCACTATCTGGGGACAGCCATAGAACAGGCACTGGAAAGTGTTAGCTTATTCTCTCTGGCAGTGCTGGGAGACCCTCAGCCTGTGGACAGGGGGGTAGGGAGACAGGCTGCAGCTCTGCACAAGGCTATGCTTTGTGGTGGCAGAGCTGCCCCAAGCTGGATTGGTCAGATAGTGAGCTCTCTTGTTCGGCAGGTATATAAGCAGAGACCTGTGGTCACAGGGCAGGGAGGCTGCAGAGGCTCTGAGTGAGCAGCTCTGCCCTTCAGTCGTGCTCTTCTCAGGCAGAGGAGGGAGGGACTCTGATGGGAATTCTAGCTCTGTCTCTTTGACCTTGGCAAGCCAGGGTCTGCCTCTTAAAAGGAGAGAGGCATAACCATCCCTGAACCCCCCCACCACTACCGCTACTGACAGAGCCCAAGGGAGACCTAAGTCTTGTCTCAGCCCATCAGACTTGCTGAGTGAGCCTAGCCCACCTCTTGTCTGTTCTGTGGTTTCATTGACAAAATGAATTGATAATGTCTGAATTGCCTGCCCAGCCCTGAATGGCTTCTCCAAGGCTGGACTCTGGCTTCTCAGTGACAGGTGTCCTTCTCTGATAGTTAATTTGTCCCATAGATTGGCTAAGCACCCACTGTAAGCACAGCCAGAGAGAGGGGCCCAGTCTTAACATATCTTCACCTCTACCCCATCTAGTACCTTTATCCTCCTGGCCTCTTCCTGCTACACCTTCAGCCTCTCTCCACCTTCGTTCATGTCTTCCTCTCCATCTTAAAATGGTTCCAAGTTTTCCCATCTGAGACCTTCAGAGAAACAGACAGAACCACCTGCTTCCCCTTCTCTCCTTCCCTTTGCTCCACTGTTGATTGTTGCGGTCACTTGTCCCCGGAACTCCACCTTGAGTCTTACTGTAGGATAAGCCTGTCTACCTCCCCTCCTACTAGGAGCTGTAGAGGCCCGAGGGTAGTTGTTTGTCCAGCCTCCTGGTGGCTGGGATTCAGTTCTGTGCCTGAAGTGCCACCAACCAGATGTACCCGCCTGTGTGAGTGGTGCTTGTGGAAGCAGTGGCCCCAGCGGGCAGGAGGATTCCTAGTGGCCAGACCAGCTCCAGGAGCGCCTGATAGTGGCAACAGTGATGTCTTCGGTGTTGCTTTTAGTGTGGCCTCAGACATTGTTCCTGTGTTGGCCTTCCAGGCCCAATATGAGACACCTGTGGAAAGTCTGGGAGCTCCCAATATCCTCCAAGGCAGGACTTCTCAACAGTGGCACTGTTCACATTTGGGACCAGATAATTCTTTGTTGTGACTGTGAGGAGGGCTGTGTGTATTACAGGATATTTAGCAGCATTCTTGGCATCTACTCATTAAATGTCTGTAGTAATCTCCCAGTTATGGCAACCAAAAATGTCTCCAGACATTGCTAGATGTCCCCAGAGGGGCAGAACTTCCCTGGCCCACTACCCTTCTTCCTCCTTAAGGCAGTCCCACATCTTCCTCTGCTGTCCCCTATCACTGCCTGCAGAGCGATGCTGTTGACAGTTCTTGAGGATCCTCCCAGGCTTCTGGTCCACCGTGTTGTCCTGGTTCTCTGCCCTTGGTCTGAGTCTGCTCTGTCTCTTCCTGTTTCTCCCTTCCTCACCTGCGCCTTAAATAAAGAGGTGGTTTTGTTTTGTTTTGTTTTTGGTTTAGTCTTTCCTGTGCTCTTCTTGAGAGCTGCATCCTCGAACACCACAAAGCTGATAGCACTTGCCCTGTTGCCACCTGAGAACCCTCAGTCCTTATGTTTCAGCTTATCCAAAATCAAATATATGTCCCACCCTAAAGCCTCTGCTCTATGTCAAATCATGGGGTACATACTGTTGCTTAATCCTGGAAGGAATGATATCAAAACTGAATCCAGAAAGATTAGGGGAGGAGGGAGAAGGAGACAAGCACCATGAGCAGAGGCCTACGAGTGGAGGCATCAAAAGTAGTAAATGGGAAAACAGGGAAACTTCTCTTCTGTGACCTATAGTAAGTGCCCAGTCCATGGTGGGTGTCTGGACATATGGTTATTCAGTCCAGTCCCTTCCTTTCCAGATGAAGAACCCTGGTTATGATGAGTGACTTGTTTGAGGCTGGTCCACCCTTGGGAGTCAGTCTCAGTTCCAGCGAGGCAAGGTGCCAGCTCAAAGAGCTGTTCAGTAGGTGAGATCCAGGGCCAGATGGAGAATGTCAATGTTTTGCCAAGGCTGGGTCCAGTGCCACCACCTTCCAGTTTCTATGGAGCCTTCATTTACGTACCCTTCAGGCTACCTTGCCAGGAACCAGGGCCTGTGGGCAGGTCCAGCTGGGAGCTGTGGGAACAGATGCAAAATGTACAGTGCTGTGTCTGCCTATGGGACCTGGTGCTCCTGCAGCCTTCTGCGGGGGGGTTACCGAGAGGGTGGGATGGGAGGGCAGTGGACCAAAGTGAGTCATAGGGTAGGCCAGCAGATGGCCACCCCCGTAGTGTGGGGAGCCCTGTGAGAGCCACTGAGAGGCGAGCTGGAGGTCGCACTGTCCAGCTCAGTGCCAGGTCCAGAGCAGGGTAGCAGGGTTTGATTTTCTGTTTTAGGGTGAGACTGGTATAGTGGACACCAGCTCTCCAACATGTAAACGATGAGAACACTCTTGTCTTTTTTCCTCAAACTAAGACCTTATGTTATACAAGTTTATTATAAAAAGTATTTTGTACTATCAAGAAAGTAAAATTCACCCTAAACTCACTATTCCCTTAACCATGACTGATACTCAGCTGTTAGACCTCGCATCCTTTTGCCTTGCATGTGAGCAAATAAATCCCTGTTTTCTTCAATTACAAAAGCTACCTTGTGTGGGCACTTACAATACACTGGGCCTTATGCCAAGTGTGGGCTTGCACAGCTTTTGCTGCCTCAGGGCCCTTGTCTATGTTGTCTGTTGCCTCAGCTACACCACATGCAGTTCTCTCATAATTTTAGGTTTCATCTTAAATGTCAGAGGCCTTCCCTCACAATTCCAAGTCAGGTCCCTTGTTAACAGTTTCATCACACCCGTTACTTTTCCTTGATCGCTTGTGCTATTATCTGTTATTTATTTTTATGTTTATTTGTTTAACATCTGTTCTCTTCAATAAACTGGAAACTCTCAGAGGGCAGGAACTATTTCTGTTTTCCTGCCCCAGAGGTGTTCAACAAATATTATCAATGTGCAGATGATCCCTTTAGTCCTCACAACTATGGCAGGGCACTATTTCCATTTTAGAGATGACAACCAAGGCTTAGAACAGTCAAACTGCCCAAGGTCACATTGCGTAAGTCCATATGTCTGCCTCCATACAGCTTGTGTACTGATAAGTCTTGACCACAAAGCAACAGCTGTCTCCCACACTTGCAGGTAATATGCTTTTTCCCTTTTAACAATATATTGCAGCTCTGACTGGTGTGGCTCAGTGATTGAGTGCCAGCCTGCGAACAGTCAACGGGTTCAATTCCCCATCAGGGTACATACCTGGGTTGTGGGCCAGGTCCGCATTTGGGAGCATGAGGGAGGCAACCAGTTGATGTTTCTCTCACACATGAATGTTTCCCTCCCTCTTCTTCCCCTTCCCTCTCTCTCAAAATAAATAAAATCTTTTAAAAAAACCCACACCATATCGCAAAAGTCTGTCAATAGCTATATATTTACATAATGTTTAATGACGCTATGGTATTCCATTGTGCGGATATAACATTCATCCCGTCTCTTATTCGGCTTCCCAATTTTCCAGTTACAAAGGACTTGCGTAGTTGTTTGAGCACTGGTTCTTTTATTTTTAGGGTAAGTCCCTAGAAGTTTACACATTTGTTTTATGTCGTGACCAGCTCCAAGATGGGGGCAGTGGAGCGCCTGAGGATTGGGAACCTGTGGGTGGGCTGCGCGTCAGAATTCCTGCGCAATTTTGGCAAAATGCTCTTGCCGCGCCCGCCTCGGGAGGCTAGTGTGGCCCTGCCACTGGGCGTTTTAAAGGTCTGCAGGCGGTTCTGAGGTACCCGGGGTGAGAACCGGAGGAAGAAGCAGGTGCGAAGGCGTAGAGGTTGTCAGTGTGCTCCGTACTTGGACAACTCGCGGTCCACGTCAAACCTCGGCTTCCACCTTTCCAAGGGGCGTAGGAGGAACGTGATTTGAAGGGTCTCTAGACTGCTCGAGGGCCTAGCTTTCGGGGGCCAGGTTCGACTCCATTCGCTGTCCCAGGCGGGAAGGGTGGGGGCCCGCTGGGAAGATGACGTAATGTGCTCACAGCCTGCTCTGGGGGCGACCGGCGGTTGGGAGTGGAGCGTGTTAACTCTGCAGTTCCCGGCGGGTGGATCGAATAGCTGGTGGAGCAGACTCAACGGAAAAGACAGCGGCTCATTTAAACGAGGGGAAGGAGGTTGGGCTGGGGACCAGGAGGCTTCTGTTCGCATTCGCTAACAAACCGTGAGGGGTGGGACTTCGCTATGCAAATCTGAGCTGCTGATCGCTGACGCGCAATCACCCCACGCGCGGCTTTGCGCGCCGATTGGCCGTGACGAGCCTGGTCCCATTGACAACAAACGGGGGTGCGCGCGACCTGGGGGCGGGGCCGCAGAGGGCGCGGATTGGGGCGGGGGAATCCCGCCCCGCCCCTCCCGCGCAGCGCAAACATGGCGGAGGGTGACACCGGCCGGTGAGGCGGTGCCGGGTGGAGGCTGTAGGGTGTCATGGGTGGTGGCGGCGGCACCGCCCCCGCGTCTCCCTGAACGGACCGGCAGGGAGGCCTCTGCGCCGAGCAGGGCGATGGACGAGAGCGGCGAGTTGGGCGGTCTGGAGACCATGGAGACGCTCACCGAGCTGGGTGATGAGCTGACCCTGGGGGATATCGACGGTGAGTGGTGGGTGGGTGGGTGAGTGGGAGTGCTGGGGGCGCGCGGGGAGGAAGGGGTTACGGCGGCGCGCGCGGGTGCGCGTGAGGCCCCCGCCCCGAGCCCCAGCTCGAGCGGGAAGAACCGGCACACGCGGTCGCCCCGAAGCTCCCCAGGCATTCCGAGCGCTGAGGGTTTGAACCCCGGTCAGCCCTCTCTGTTCCGACAGGCTCTAGGATCAGCTCCCGGGCGCCGCGTATTTTTAAGCGAAGCGAGGGTCGTGAGGCAGGGATCGCGGAGCCTTGGGCGTCGCGACGGTCCGGCGGGAGCGACCTGAGGAGAGCGCGCGGCCGCCGCCTCCCTCGCGCGCCTACACACGCCGCCCCAGGTCCCACTCGCCCGCGGCCCCGCGTCGTATCTGTCACTCCCTGCCCCGCAGCGTGGGCGGCTTTGGGATTTCCGGGCTCCACGCCCCCAGCCCTGGTCCTCTCGGGGTGACCCACGGCGGGGTCTCCGGCATTCCGGAAACTTAGGGCAGCGAGTGGCTGCAGAAGCAAGTGGCTAATGAAACGAGCGGTGGCGGCGGAGTATGGACGCATCTCCGTGGAATGGAGACACTGCTGCTCCTGCTTTCGCGCTGCAAAGGGAGTTGAGCAGCAGGAATTTTGAGTTGTGGCCCCTCGGGGACAGGCTGGGGGCGGGGGGGGTTGCCTTTGTTCCAGTGGCCTTAACACCGGAGTGGAAGAGCTGGTAAGAGCTCAGGTGGTAGGGCTCCTCAGCAATGCTCTCATTTTGTTACCACAAGACCCCAAAGTTTGGAGAGAATCAGCGACCCGCCCAAGGTCACCCAGCTGGTTGTAGAGCCCAGTTCCTGGGCCAGTGTTAGTGTCCCTACATCAGGCTTCCACCTGACCTTTGGGAGTGAGAAGCCCAGTGAATAGGTTAGTAATGGTAATAACTCTGAATAGTGGGGCTCTTCTGAGGTTCTAGTCCCCAGATAGTCAATACTATATAGTTTCACGTATTCCTCATTACAATCCCAGGAGATAGGTATTTTTATACCTGTTTTTACAGGAAACTGAACTCAGCAAACTGAGTTCAGGAGATGTTAACTTGTCTAAGGTCGCCCACCTTAGATTGTCCAGAGCCCATGCTCTTAAGGAGTAACCTAGGTGCATTGTGCTCTTTGCGAAGTGCTTTTCACATCCGGGATCTCAGTACCGCCGTGCAGGCAGCTGTGATGGGATGGCTCCATCCTACCTGCAGAAGATTCTCTTCTAGGGGAAGAGATAATTGTCAGCAGCTAATTGGAAAGGGTCGGTTTCCCATTTTGCTTCTGTGACATTTTTACCCTTTGGCCTGTCCTTGCTTTCCATTTTTGGTAGTCTGGGCAAAGTGGTAAAACCTTGAATTGAAGCCCTGAGTCTAACCACAGTCTTTTCCACTAAGTGCTGCTAAAACAGAGATGTATTAATAAGTGGGGAGGGTAGTTTTTGGAATTTAACAGGGGAAGCTAAGTTTTGAGCACTTCCATGCCAGGCACTCTGCAAAGTACTCATATACATTAATGTTCTCAATTCTTAACAGGTAGAGACTACCATTATGCCACTCTCGCAGATCCTGGAACTGAGCCCCAGGGCAGTTTATTAATTGACACGAGGTCACACAGCCAGTTAGAAGTATGTCTGAATCTGCCTACCAGGAGGTTCACACAAAGAAATCTAGGTCTATTTTGCATTCTCATTTCATAATCCACCCCTACTTGTCTTAATTTGTAATGTGTTAAATTATCTAGTGGTTAAGTTTTAACTTTATCTCCAGAGATTTCAGAGTATAGTGTATGTTCTGGAAATTACCACAGTGGTTCAGTGGCTTCATAGGCCCCCACACCAGATTTGGAAAAAAGTGGTTCCCGGTGTTTAATTGGCTAATAAGTGCCAGTTGTGGATTCTGAGCTGTAGAGAACATGAAAGATAGGATATAGACAATTTTATGGCCTCATGGAGTTTCAGATTAATAACAGTAAAACTGTAGTTGCTGAATATAGAGTAGCTCACAATGGCACAGAGCAGTAAGTGAAAGTTAGATAGCATCGAGGGAGCCTGAAGAAGGCCAGCTTACCAGGAAAACTATACCAAGAGGTGGCCCTTCCCCTTGGCCTTGGACAGAGGAAGCATTGGGCAGACTGAAGGCCAGTGGTCTGCAGGTGCAAATATCCCTGAATACTTATTCATTCTGCCTCTGGAATATCAGCACTGCAAGGGCAAGGGCCTTTTGTTTTGTTCATGCTGTATTTCTTGCACCTAGAACTAAATATTTGTTGAATGCCTGAATGAGCCTAGGACCTTGGACTGGGCAGGATTCTCAGTTATACTAGGCACAGTCCTTGGGGTTTGGGTTAGATCAGGGGTGGCCAGTCCAGATGCTTTTAGGAGCCAGTCAGATGAGGAAGAAGAGATTGTGGGTATGAACACACACACACACTATTGTATGTTGTGCCAGGGGAGAGAGAGAGAGCTCATACCTGCCTCTTAGAGGGGCAGGTAGGTAGGCAGAATCCTTCATTTGACATTATCAGCCCTGCTGCAATCCACAAGGATGGAGGCCCAAGGAGGCGAAATCCACTCACTCATTAAAAACACCTCTTGAGTAGATTCTGAGTACCCCCATGATGGACAAAGTGCTGAGAATAGCTTTGAATGAGACATTCAAGGTCTCTTCTCTTTCAGGAAACTTCAGTTCTTGAGGTAGGAAATAAGCTGAACAGATAAAATAAATGACACTGTTGTCATGGCTCTATGAACATAAAGTGGGTCCATCTTACAGAGAGTAAGCGACAGCCAAATTTAGACTGAGTAGGTGAGGGAGGCCTCTCAGCAGAGCGATCATCTCTTTTTCAAGAGATGCCCCAGTCAGGATTTTTTTTTCTTAAGATTTTATTTATGTTTTAGGGAGAAGGGAAGAGAGGGAGAGAAACATCCATGTGCAAGAGAAACATGGATTGGTTACCTTTCACCTGCCCCCAACTGGAGACCTGGCCGGCAACCCAGGCATGTGTCCTGACCGGGAATTGAACCAGCAACCCTTAAGTTCTCAGGCTGGCGCTCAACTCAGTGAGCCACACCAGCCAGGGCCCAAGTCTGGATATTTATGTGAAATACCCAGATTTTAAAAATATTGGCCCAATAAAGCAAATGTATTAATAGGTCTCCAGGGCCTTGTGCCACTGCAGAATGCGCAGTTGTCACAGGCCACTGGGCCTCTTATGGATACGATATCTAGAGTATTATCTTTTGTGATAGGTGTCTTTATAATGAGACACTGTGATAAGCCAGGTCTTCTGGAAAGGCGAAGACAGGATTTTCTTCCATGGGGATTAGGAAAGGCACAGTCGTAGAGGGGTTCCCCCCCCCCTTTTTTTTTTTTTTTTTTTTTTGGCTGGACCCAAAAGGAGGGGTGGCAGAAGAAGCGTGACAAATGTGGAAGGAGAACAAAGAATAAATGATTACAATCGAGTTCTTGGAATAAACGATGTGCATAAGGAAACCAGTTAAGTTCTGAAAGGTGAGTTGGAGCCAAATTATGGGGAGTTTTAATACCAGACACATGTTTTTGGAAGGTAGGGAGGGTATGACATTAATCATGGATTTTAAGGAAATTCAACTGTGGTGATGGGCAAGGAAGATTGGAGGGCACTGCAGCCATCCAGGTGTGAGCCGATACTAAGG